CCCACTCAACAGGAGGGAATCCATGCAGGGTACTATAAGCATAGCTAAGTACATATGGTTGGAGAAAAGCTTGCTACTGTCACTTTCCTAGACCAATGTAATTTCTTACTTTATTCTAAATATATATCTTCATATTCACAGACAAGTGTACCTTCCACCCCTCATCAAAGAAGCTTCTTTTTGTAATAGATGGAGACTATTACAGAGTTCCACAACTGGACGAATGTAAGAATAATTGACTGTGAAGTGCTCAGGCCTAAGTGATACACCTACAATACAACCTCAACATAAGACTCAAGTACATTGCAGAAGAAGGGGACAGAGGATTGTGAGAGACAGAAGAACAAGACACACACTGCTGCTAGTTAATGCATTCTAGACATGATAGGGGAGCTGCACCCGTGAAATCTCCACAGTGTGGTAGCCTAACAAGATCTGCATAACGACAAAACCAGTTGACAAGCTAATGTGGATGAGGGAAATTTCAGAGGGTCCCACATCAAGATGAAGAGCTACAGGAAATCAATGGATGTTAAGGGAGGGGGAATTGGTTTTCTTCAGAGACTAACTCCCTGAGAGATGATCAGATCCCAAGTGACAGCCCTGAACGCATGTACACAAGAGCACCACTAAATGGACTCAGTGTATTATATATGTATATTTATAAATATATATGTGTGTGTGTGTGTGTGTGTAATTTACAAATGTATGTATATGTAACACTAATGATAAAAGAAGAGGACATGAAATTAAGAAGTGGGGGGAACATGGAGGAGTTGGAGAGGGACTTAGGTGGGAATAATGCAAATACAATACTCATATGAAATTCTAAAAAATCATATTAAAAAAACAGGTCACAGCTGGCCATGGTGGTGCACGCCTTTAATCCCAGCACTCGGGAGGCAGAGACAGGTGGATCTATGTGAGTTTGAGGCCAGCCTGGTCTACATAGTGAGTTCCAGGTCAGCTGGAGCTACAGGGAGACCCTGTCTCAAAAAAAAATTTTTTTTAAAGTCACATTTCCTCTTTTTCAATAGCAATATTGAATTGAAATTCACATTCCAAAATATTCACCTATTTTAAGTATGAGTCTATTGATCTTAATATGTTTGAACAGTTGTGTAAACTTTATAATAATCTTGTTTTAGTTTCCAGAAAGTTGTTTCTCCTCCTCCTCTTCTCCCGCCCCCCACTCCTTTTTCTCTGCTGTACTGGGGATTAAACCAAGGGCCTTATATAGGCTAAAGTGCTCTACCAGTAAGCTATATCTCTAGCCCTCTAATTTCCTTTTAAGAAGAGGAAAGTGTTGAATAAACTCTGAGGTCCCACTCAGAATTCCTGGTCTTGTATATACAAAGCTGACCTTGAGCAAGCAAAGCGTCTTAAGCGTCTTTATTCATCTCTGGGGTGCTTAACACAGTCTTTCTGACCACTGCTTTTGATTCTGTGCTTTCCTTTACCCATAATTTCATTAACTTAGTTAACTGAAATCTGAAAACATTAGGCAGAAACTTCTAGAAATAAACAATGCGTAAGTTTGAAATTGTGCACCCTTCTGAATAGTGTGGGGAAATCTCCTGCTGTCCGTGTCCGTCCTCTCCAGAATGTGAACTCTCCCTGTGGGATAGCTGATGGTTGCAGCATCATGGTACTTCTGCTCCAAAGTGCAAGAGTAGTGATGGTGTTCTTATTACAGCAAATCATTGGAATTTTTCTGTTTCATTGTTAGTTACTGTTATGACTTTCTTTATATGTCAAATTTATAAATTCAACTTTGAAAAAACAATGCTTTCTCATTTGATATAATCCAAGGTGTCAGGCATTGACCGGGGTGGGGGGGTCTTCGAATGTGTCCCCTGTGGATCAGGGGGCTCACTGTAAGGTGCATGCTTAATTCCCAAGGCCATGCCAAGATGACAGCATGCTTTCTCCACTTGAGTAAAGTGTAGCAACCTTAATTTCACCTGAGTTCCTTCACTCTACCTCCTTTTGGGATTAAATTGTCTAAGTATTTCTCCTGCAGACATGTCATAAAACTTAGTAATTTTGCTTTAATGATCAAATATTACTTAGGAAACTCTCGAGAGATAGGTCAGGGTGCTAGATTCCCCATTTTGCCCTTTTCAATGTTCCTCTCTTGATGTTCACACACTCTGTAATCACACCTGTATCTTTAACCCTTCGCCCCATCTCCTTCTATGCCCTCTTGTCAAGATTTCACTCTTTGCTTGCTGAAGCTCATTCTATTTTTATTGCATTTCTACCTTCTCTGTTGGCTGCCTGTCACTTTGTGAGTACAGGGGGCTCTCAAGAAGCAGCACCACACATGCCATTGACTACATGTAATCACAAGGTAGCTGGATAAGCCATACATACATACTAGATCTCATTTTCCCTCACATGTATAACGAGATAATTACACATGTATGTGAGGACATGTATGTTTATATGTAGTTCTGGGGTTGAGCCCAAGGCCTCACAAATGCTAAATACACAGTCTAATACACAGCTAACACTCAGCCCTATAGGGTTATTATTCACATTAGATGAGTTGGTTATGTAAACAACTTAGCACAATGCCTGGTACTTGGTAGCATTTGAGAAATGCTAGCTCTCACTATAATCCTGCAGTTTGCATGTTTATGCAGTCGTGTTTATTTTCTGATTAGCTCCACGTGCTTAGGAATTACCTAAAGCTATACGCTATATGAATATTAACCTATATTTTTTCCTGAGAATTTATAGAACCTCAATGGCTTTATCTTCACCCCATAAGGAATGTATTTTTGCTGCATATGATCAAGTAATGCTCTCTCTCCTCTCTCCTCTCTCTCCTCTCTCCCCTCTCTCTCCTCTCTCTTCTCTCTTCTCTTCTCTCTCTCCTCTCCTCTCTCCTCTCTCTCCTCTCTCTCTCTCTCTCTCATCATTTCTTTCTTGCCTTCTTCCCCTTTTCCTTCTTTCTTTCAAAAGAAGAGTCTCGCTTATGGCTAATCATTTTTACCTTTATGTACTGAGTAAAATGTAATTTAAAGTCTGTTTTCATCACATTTAGAGTTTTACACATACTAATCCTTTCCTCATCTTTTCTCATAGGTATGACTACTCCTGCAGAGTTTACTGCTCTGTTTTATGTATTGTGGCAATGTAACAGCTCATTGTTATCTGATAATATTTTCCAAAGTTTCAAGAATATTTTCGTATACCAATATTTTACACTAACTACAAACTTGGCAAATGACCACTTGAATACTCTCCAATAGCATAAATAATAGGTTAATTTGATGCAGTGTCTTTTAACAGGGTGATATTTCCATGTAGGAAAATTGTATGTCTCTCTACTTTATGTTCTCAGTGAAACTTCACAGGTATCTTTTTATATCTTGTGTGTATGGATGATGATGTATGTGTATATCTGTATGTGTGTATGTATATCTGTGTATGTGTGTAAGATGTGTATGGATGGTATGAATGTGTTTATATTTGACTGAGCACACAGCGCATGCCATGGCACACATATAGAGGTCAGGGGACAACTTCGAGTGCCAGTCCTCACCTTCCACCTTGTTTGTGATGGGGTCTTTTTGTCCACTGCTGAGGATGCCGGGCTAGCTGGCCTGTGAGCTCCTGGCGAGTCTCCTGTCTCCTCCCCCCATCTCCCTGTATGAACTCTGGAATTACAGATGGCTGCAACCACACACATCCAGATTTTACATGGGTTCTGGGGACCTGAACTCAAGTTTACAGGCTTGCGCAACAAGTACTTTATGCACTGAGCAATCTCCCCAGCCCTTCATAGACACTGACATAATATCAGTGAATACTGTTTAATGCTATTTCTTGGTTGTAACTCATATTTTCTATTTCTATGAATAGTCATCTCAGACAACTTCCTTACTGTTCATGGTGGCACACACTTTAATCCCAGCACCTGGAAGGCAGAGTGTGGTGCACAGGACCATGCCAACTCAATCAGACAAGAGCCCAAAGTGGAGTGAGAGAAATGGGTGGCTGGCCAGCCCTAGACTTAGAACTATTGGAGACTGATTGCTGCTGGGTGAGGGAGAGTATGCCTTACATATGATCTCTAGATAGGCTGAATAGACTCCAGTGGATGAATTTGCACTGAAGGACATCTGGGTACAAATGCTTGACTGCATAGGACTCAACATGCATGGTAAAATATATGAGATATGGTGGGGGGTTAGGGGAGCACAGATGGGGGAGAGGGGTCTAAATTTGATTAAGAACTGTTGTATGAAATGTAAAAAAAGCTCAATACAAAATTTTAAAAATATTTATTTTTATTCATGTTTATGTGTATTATCTGTGTGTCTAAAACATGTGCGCAGGTATCTGTGGGTCTGGAAGAAGATGTCAGATCCCCCAGCACTGGAGTTACAGGTGGTTGTACGCTACCTGATGTGGGTGCTGGGAACGAGCTCAGGTCTTCCAAAAGAGGAGTACAAGCTCTTAACCATCTCTCCATTCCCTCTAACTATTGTTCTTAGAAAAAATATTTTTTTATAAATTTCAATCATACCTAACCATCTTACTGAACTTACTCTTTATGAAATTTTTAATTGATTTTACTGAATCAATTAAACATATTTTTTGCTTATATAATAATTCAAGATTCTCATTTCCAACACATAGGGGAATCTTATTTTTTCTTGTACATTGGCTAGAATCTTTAAATTACAATAAAAAGTTTTTTTTTCTGTCCTTAATGATGAGGGACAGTTTCTAACTTTTCACTAAAGAGGAAATTGACTTTCTTTACAATGCTGAATCCTTTTACCACTCTCTTTTATAGCTCAGTGTTATTCTGTAACCAACAGAGACTGTGCAGTGGCTCATTATTTCCCTCTCTATGTTCATACCATTTTTCTCAGTGGCCTTCAGGTATTTCAGACTAAAGTTACACATACGCTAGGCCTCCCTGTAACTGATTTTAAGAGCAAACAGTTTCATTTTTGGTTCTTTCCTGTCCTTCTCCTCACCTTTGCAGAGGAAAGGCTGATGACATGCTGCTCTTTCTCATTGGTGACGATCTCCGTGATGCTAAACATGTGCCCCACCAGCTTCCCGACTGGCTTGGTGCTGATATTGGGGTGCCACAACCTGAGGACTTTGTCATTTCCTAGGAAGGATGATAGTGAAAGAGGATTTATGTTCTCAAGTGAGTCAAAATTTCAAATATGACCAAATTTCATTTCTATTGCCATGATAAATACCTTGAGAGAAAGCAACTTAGGGGAGAAAGGGTTTACTTTAGTTCACAATTCCACCTTTCAGCCCATCATAGCAAGGAAGTAATGGTAGCAAGAACTTCAAACAGCTGGTCACATGACATCCACAATCAAGAGCAGAGAGAAATGGATGCATGCATGCCTAGTACTCCACTGGCCTTCTCTACTCTTATCCAGTCCAATGCCCCAAACCAGGGAGTGGTGCCTCCCACTTTCAGGCTGGGTCTTTCCATATCAATTGAGGCAATCAAGACAATCCCCCATACACATGCCCACGGGGGCCAAACTGGTTAGGCAATCCCTCCCTGAGATTCTCTTCTCACATGGTTCTAGGCTGAGGCAAGTTGACATTGAAAACTCTGCATCACAAAAAGCTTTGCTGCCTCAGTAGGATACCACAGCCCATCCTTCCTAAAGACTTTCATTTTGTGATTGACTTGCCAAGGGATCAGGCTTGATGGGGACCTGCTGCCCCACAAGGCTGTTTTGTGATCATTATATTTACACATATAATTGTGAATTATCATAAATATTTTATGAGTACTTTTCTTGGTTTAATACTTCCCTATTCCTTCATGCATTAATACATTATTTATATTTTATTTACTTCCAAACCATATCTCAGGCAGCTGTTCTTTTGTTTTTGCATTCTTAAATTATGCAATCATTATAATAATGAAAGTAATCAAGGGAAGAGGAAAACTTCATAATCTCCAGCATTAGACAAATCAACAACCTTTTATTTTCCCATCTTCCTTAATGCTAATATGAGCACAGATTCAAAAGCATGTGTAACATGTGAACGTTAATATAGCATAGATTTGTCTTTTAGTTGTCAAAACCATCTGGCTACATGGAGAAATATTTAAATAGTTTAGAAGAGGGAAATTTTTGTAAAAAATAGTATTTCCTCCAATTCAATTTAACTTCTTAAATTTTTATTTATTTACTTATTTTTATTTTATGTGTATGAGTGTATTGCCTTCATGTGTATAAATACACCCGTGCATGCAAACTAGAAGAAGGTATCAGATCTCCCAGAACTGGAGTTACAGATGGTTGTTAGTCACCGTGTGGGTGCTGGGAATCAAACTCATGTCCTTTTCAAAAGCAGCCACTGCTCTTAACCACTGAGCCATCTCTCCAGCCCCTTCCTTTAAGATCTTTTTAAATTTTGGCTACCTAAGATGTTTACCTTTATTAGATTTGTGTGTGTGTGTGTGTGTGTGTGTGTGTGTGTGTGTGTGTATGTGTGT